TTTTGTTTAGCTTTTACAAAATTGTGGATATTCATTGAGCAGAACACTAGATACAAAAGCAAATACCACTACTTGCCTTTGTTTGGATCATGCTCTAGCAAACTCTACTTATTTAACAAAATAGTTGGTCATTAATTATTTCACAGATATATGGAGTGCAATGTAAAATATTGTGGTTGCCTTACTAAAAAAAATAAATTCTATTGACCACTGGCATGAATTCTTGCAGAAATCAGTTCATTTATGATTCTCTTCCTGAGTTTTGAGCTATCACTAAAAGACCAACTAAAACTAGGAATACCTGGCCGCCTGTATTCAATGATATCTCTGGCTGCAAAGATGACTCCAATGCCACAACTTGAGCTGCCTTCCCCTGAGCTTGGCTGCTTTGGCATTCCAAATCTTTGGAATGRCACTTTTCCACCAGACCATAAAATGGATGACATAGAAGGCCTAAGACATGTTAGAACCTTCATTATCTTTGTCACAGCAGCTGATATGTTGGTTGGTGGTTCCATGTGCATGCCATCATCATAGTATGCGATTTCCTGTGAAAAGTCAAGGCATAAAATCCYCCAGTGGCACCCTCCAACATGCACAGGGCAAATCACTTTCTCTAGTTTACTTGTGCTCTGGAAGCTGATAATTGGAGTCAGCTTCTTAAGAAGAAACTCATGATCTGCTGTTGCCCAGGTAAATGTGTGGCTTGGAAGATATGCTATACTTGATGCATGTATGCTTTTCTTTAGAAAGAGCATACATGACATGTCAATGGTGTAGCCATCTACATAGCGCTCGCAAGCCAGGTTACTAAGATCTTTTGCATCCATTAGAAAGCCATTAACATTAAGAAACTCCTCCTGCGGACGAAGTGACAGCAATGTCTCTCTAACAACCGAGTCTTCCCTACCCAGCCATGTAAGCTCTTCTCTGACTTTTTGYTTGATCTCAGCTGCGAAACAAAATRATTTAATTACTTCCAGTGCCTCACCAGTAAAAGTACCAAATGTTCCCAAGCTAACAAATGAATGATTGTCATCAGCTCCTATAATACCACCACTGTGTACATGGTCACGTAGCAACTTTAGAGCCCTGTCCACTACAGCTTCAGAAGGACGGCAGATTAAGGAAAAAGGGTCTTTAAGATTGTTACACTGGATATTTTGTACAAGTGTGATATCAGAATCTTTGATATATGCCACTGGTGGAATGTTCAGGGAAGCAAGTTGTCCACGAGTTAGACCAGGAATTCTACACAATAACTCGAGTGGGTTAGTTKAGCTTAGTGTGGTTGTGGACACTGGAGGAGGTGGAGCTGCGTGTTGGCTGGAACTCTGGCGTGACACTGGAGAAGGTGGAGCTGCATGTTGACTGGGACTCTGACCAGGATTCTGGGGTGATGCATATTGGGACTTATACTCTTGCAATCTTTGTTGGTATGACTTTTCCCATTCATTATGCACATACTTATAGGAAGGTACATCTTCCTCTTGAACAATGCATGCTCCATTTCTCACGCTTCCACTGGGAGACTTTGCCTTTTGATATGCATATCTTGGGTAATCCACCCCAAAAATCAAGGTCAACAAACTATCCATTTGTGACATCCACCAAATATCTTCACTCGTCCACATCTTCTTCTTTTCAGAGCCCAGCTTTAGGGACCAGTAACATCCAGAAAAGTGAAAAGCTGAGCCTTCAAACAAATAAAAAACAATATATTTATAATACAATCACTCTTTCAAATAATCTTCCACTTTAAATACTTACTTTTATTCAAACACTCTAGTGCTTTGCGAAAGGACAATCTCAGGAAGAGAAAATATTCAGCATACTGGTGTGTCAGTATTTGATCAACTGTAAAATAAATAAAACGACTATCTCAAAATAAGCACATGACACTAATTTGTTAAACACTTTCAAAAATATTTCATGATATATGACAGCCCTGTATGGCAGCAGCAGTTGCTACTTGGAGATAATTTAAATTTCTAGGATTTTTTTGTTTAACTCCATACATGAACAGTTTGTAAAATAGATCATTTAATTTTTCTCCTGCATAATTCATGTCATCAAAAATTAGAAAACCAATTTGGGTGTTTGATAAATAAATGTCACTTACAACATAAATTGAAAACAAACTTGAATATGTACTTTACACAACAC